CGATAATTTTTCCTTTGCATTTTCTTCAAATGTGACATGACCTCCATCCTTCTTTTTGAAATTTGATAGTAAAGTTCTATCTTCGTTCATGTACTTTGAGCACCTGCTATCTAAGAACCATTTGCTCGTCATCTTCTTCGGTACCTACAATAATAATTCAACTTTTGATCTTTGGTAACCACACAAGTTTGGATCCTTGGTAGTTAGTTTTAGTGGATCCTCGAGTCCACTCGTTTTTACTTTCAAAGTGTAGCTTCTTTTTTATTAGACAATTGTAAGCAATATGTCCATCCCTATTGCAAAAGCTACAAGCAGTTTTTTAGGGAATTGTATTTGAGACTTTCACAAATAAATTTTTCTAGATATTTTTGTTTCAAAAATGGTTTATATCCAATGCTTCCTTTATCAAAAACACATTTTTGATCACTGAGCATTNACATTTTTGATCACCGAGCATTAGATCAAATTTTTTCTTCCCTTAAATGAATTTAAAAACATTTTTTGTCAAGTCTCCAACATTTTCTTTCAAAAAACAATTTTATTTATACAATGAATCATAATCAATATTTTTCTTTTGGTTTCTAAAATATTTACCATTTCACTTTTTAATAATTTATATTTCTTTTTAAGAATAGAATGACTAAAAGCGAGTTTTTCAAATTCTTCCAAAATTTCATCATAAGAGGAAAATAAATCATCATATGAAAATTTTTCAATAGAATTTACCTCATCATCGATTGCCATGAAGCACATGTTGGCGATCTCTTATTGACTTTCATTTTCGTCGTTATCGTCGCTTTCATCCTATGTTGCATGGAGTGCATTTTTCTTGAAATTTTTCTTTTTATTTGGACACTTGGTTTTCTTGTGACCTGGTTTGTCGCAATTATAACAAATGATTTTCTTGCTTCTTTCTTCGCTCTTTTCCTCTTTCTTTTGAAATTTTCGATTGTTTGAAAAATCTTTCCATTTTTTGACAAGAAGTACAAGATCATCAAGTTCTTCATCACTCATGTGTTCACTTGTAATTCCCTCTTCAATTGCCGATTTGAGAGCAATTTAACGTCTAGGAGGCCCTTTTGATTCTTCTTTACTTTTCCTTGTCTTCTCCTTGGTTTTGACATTGTTGAGCTCATATGTCATCAAGGTTCCATAGAATTCCTTAGAAGGATAAGAGTTGATATTTTTTGGTGTTCTCTATCGACATTCTTAATGAGCTCCAATCTTCCAATAGTGACCTAAGCACATTGCTTACAAGCTCACCGTTAGTAAATTTACGATCAAAGCCCTTGAGGCCATTAACAATATCGGTGAAGTGAGTAATCATGTCAATAATAGGTTCATCTTGTTTCATGAAAGAAATTTTCAAATTCTTTGACCAAGAGATTAATCTTGGTTTGTTTTACCTTACTAGTACCAACATGAGTGACTTTTAAAGCATGCCATATATTATATGCGGAATCACATGTGTTAATACGATTAAACTAATTTCTATCTAAGGCACAATAAAGTAAGTTTTTAGCTCTAGCATTCAAGGACAATTTTCTTTTATCATCTTCATCATATTCCTCTCTAGGTTTTGGAATAGATTGATCGAGTTTTTAATCAATTTTAATAATCTTGATAGGCACATAAGGACCATATTCAATGACTTCCCAAATATTATAATCTATTGATTGAATTTAAATCATCATTCTAACTTTCCAATAATTATAATGTGTGCCATCAAAGAAGGGATGTCAATTTGTGGAATGC